TGCCTTAAAGCTGGTGTACAGTAAAGAGTATTCTATAAAGCCACTTAAGGCAGTTTTTAGACTGATTGTCTTAAACTATCCAAACAAATAGCATACGAGAAATCCACAAGGCAAAAACCTCAGGTAATGCCTACTTGGAGACATTTACCTCTAAAATATCCCCAAACAATTTAAACCAAATAAAAGATATAAATGTAATAACAGTTGTTTTAAGTTAGTGGTGGTGATGGTTAGGGGAGGTGGGAGCTGGAGAGATGATTTCAAAGTTTACACAGATAAATAAACAAGCAAAAATAGTAGAAAATATTCTGAATGAGTAGTGAAAGAATCTGACCTGCCAGATATTAAAACATATTTTGAACCTATAATACTTAAAACAGCATAGCACAACTACATGAACAGAAAAACAGCAATGGAACAGAAGAACAAGCCCAGAAGTAGACTGAAATACATAGAAGAATTGAGAATATGATAAAGAAGACACTTCAAATTGCTAAAGATACCAATTATTCAATAAACATTATTGGAACAACTGACTAGTTATCTGGACAAAAATAAAGTTGGTACCAACTGAACAAAAATAAAATTCCTACTATATACTACATATGACATAAAGTAATTCACGATGGATCAAAGAAATCATGAAATCAAAGTATTAGAAGAAAACACAGGGAAAAGTTTTAACAATTACATCACAAAAATGTGCCAATTTGGGGCCGGCCCGGTGGCGCACTGGATAGTGCGCCGCTTGGGAAGTGCGGCGGCGCTCCCGCCCGAGGGTTCGGATACCACATACAGACCGGTTCCCGCTCACTGGCTGAGCGAGGCGCGGGAGCAGCACCGAGGGTTGCAATCCCGTTGCCGGTCCCCAGTCCGGTACGGGGGCAACACTGAGGGTTGCGACCCGTTGCCGGACACGGAAAAAGACAAAAAGACAAAAAAAAAAAAAAAATGTGCCAATTTTCCTTAACGTAAAAAAATTTCCTATAAATTAAGGAGAAAAATACCATCAATCCAATGAGAAACTGGGCAAAAGACAGAAACAGATTGTTCACAGAAAATGAAATATAAATAGTTCTTAAATATATGAAGAGATGCTCAGTATCACTCTTAACAAGAAAATACAAATTAAAAATATGATACACCATTCCTCATCCATCAAACAGGCAGAGAGCAAAAACTGTTACAACAAACTATTTTGGAAAGGGTGGAGAAATAAGAATTCTCTCATACATTGCTGGTGGGGAAGTATAAATTGTTACAGTCCTTTATATGGTACTATTTAACAAAATTATAATACATCTCTAAAAAAGAATATTATGCTGCCATTAAAAAGAATAAGGCAAAACTATATGTACTGATATAGAACAACCTTAAATAAACAAAGCAAGTTATAGAACAGTGTGTATAACTTGCTATCATATTGCTATTATATATGCTGGCTTATATGATATATCCTGGAAGTAAATAAATAAAACTGGTAATAGGTACTGCCTCTGGAGAAGAGAACTGGGTGTGGCTGGGAAACAAGATTGGAAGGAAGAGTTTTAAAAAATTAGTCTTTTGTACTTTTTGAGTTTTTTCCCTCTGTGTCAACTTCTTTATGAGCTGATATTACCTCATTCAACATTTAATTACTGAGCACCTACTATATGTCAGATATTACGCTAGGCACTGAGGAGACAACCAAACTCTGGTACCTGTGTATAACAGTGTTGAGGATACAGACAGGTAAACAGTCAATTATAATTCAAAGTGATTGTACCGTGATAACACTTTGATGAGCTTAAGAACAGGAAGCTATAAGAGATAGTGGGAGTGTCTCTTATTGGTTAGAGTGAAGGAATGTTTTCTGGAGGAGATGATGTAGAGCTGAGGCCTAGGAGGGAGAACAAAGGGGAGAGAAAACAGTATATATAAAGGCTAAGAAGTGAGCTGTATGTCAGGTTCTTCAGAACAAGTGGAGCTTAGAGTACCAGGGATAGGCTATATGCAGGAGTGTGCTAACAAATAAGGAGAGGTAAGCAAGGCCCAGATTATGAAGGCCTTAACAGGACAAATTTAGATTTTATCTTAGAAAAACAGAAATAAACAAGGGAACATTTGTAAATTTGCATTTTAGAAATCCCTTCTAGATGAAATGTGGGAAATATACTGAAGGATGTCAAGATTAGAAGGACATAGTTCAGAGCTGCTGAAATAAACTAAGTTTGAACTAGTGTACTGTCAGTGCTGAAACAGAGACGTAGGCGGATTTGAGAGACTAAGATTATTTAGGAGGCAGAACCTATAGGACTTGAATGGATGTGAAGATGAGAGAAGAATCAGGAATGAGTCCTGGGAAACTGTTTGGATGACGGTACCAATTATGGTGAGTGGGGAGGGGTGGGCAATAATTGAGAGATGGTAGACTTAGTGTTAGATATTGTGAGTTTGAAGTGCCTGAGGGACACTGAAGAAGAGATATATGTGTCTAGAACTGCTGGTTGAGATCTGGGTTGGTGACAAAGATTTCTTCTATTTTTTCTGTGAAATAGGAGATATTCTGGAAATAAGAAAGACCAGAAGAACTGCTAGTCGAACTTAATGATGGATACAATGATTTATGGTAACATCATGGTTGTGTGAATCTTTTTTTCTAGCTTTGTACAAAACTCAGGTATATGTGTGTAGAAAGCAGATAACTGGATTAATCAGAATTAGAGTTTTGCCAGGTGGCCACAACAGTTGAAAAACAGGGAATGGGAATGAAGATAATAGCATGAGAGTGAATAAAACCGAGCTGAAATGGGAGAAGGTAAATCAGTCAAGGGACAGGGTATACCCTCAAAGTCAAATAAGAGATTTAGAGTGGAATGAACTGGAGGTGTACTTAGAACTGAAAATTTCAGACTTGATAAAAAGAACCAGGGTGAGCACATGAGACCTGGGGGATTGGAGTGGATTGGATATATATAGAAACAAATACTGTGTAAAGAAAAAGTATTTTATATCTAATATATTAAATTAAAAAGCAAACTCCTGGAAGAAGACAAGGATGCCCACTTTTACTACTTATGTTCAACATAATATTGGAAGACCTAACCAGAGCAATTAGGCAAGAAAACAAAGTAAACGGCACCTAAGTCAATCATTAGAATGATTATTAACAAAAATACAGAAAATAAGTGTTGACAAGGATGTGGAGAAATTGGAATATTTGTGTATTGTTGGTGGGAACATAAAATAGTGCAGCTGTTGTAGGGAACAGTATGGCAATTACTAAAAAAATTAAATACAGAATTACCATATGATCTAGCGATTCCACTTCTGGGTATATACTCAAAAAAAGGTGAAAGCAAACACCTGAACAGACATATGTACACCCATGCTCATAGCATTAGTATTCACAATAGCCAAAAGATGAAAGCAAACCAAGTGTCTATCAATGAATTTCTGAATAAACAAAATGTGGTAAGTATATACAATAGAATATTATTCAGCTTTAAAAGGGAAAGAAATTTTGACGCATACTACAACATGTATAAATCTTGAAGACATTATGCTAAGTGATATAAGCCAGCCAAAAAGGGACAAATATTATATGATTCCACCTATATTGGGTACCTAGAGTAATCAAATTCACAGAGATAGAAAGTAGGATGGTGGCTGACAGGGGCTGGTGGTAAGAGGAATGGGGAGTGAAGTGTTTAATGGGTACAGTTTCAGCTGGGGAAGATGAAAAAGTTTTAGAGCTGGATGGTGGTGATGGTTGCCCACGATGTGAATGTATTTAATGCCACAGAACTGTATACTTAAAAATGGTTAAAATGTTAAATTTTTATGTTATGTGTATTTTGCTACAATAATAAAAAGAGAAAGAAAACATGGGGGTGGATCTTAATGACTTTGAATTTGGCAATGGTTTCTAAGATATAACACCATAAACACAAGAAAAAAAAAAGGAAAACAAATTGATAAATTGAATTTCATCAAAATTAAAAACTGTGTATCAAAGGACACTATCAAGAAAGTGGAGAGAAAACCCGAAAAGGGAGGAAATATTTGCAAATCATATATCTGATAAGAGTCTAGTATTCAGAATATGTAAAGAACTATCACAGCTCAACAGCAAAAAGATAACTCACTTTAAAAATGGGTAAAAGACTTAAATAGACAATTCTCCCAAGAAGATATACAAACAGTCAACAAGTACATGAAAAGACATTCAACATCATTAATTATGAGGGAATGCAACTCAAACTATACCAAGATGAGATAACACTTCACACCTACCTAGGATGGCTATTTAATTTTAAAAAGGGGAAACAATAGGTATTGGGGAGTATGTAATGAAATTGGAAGCATTGTACATTGCTGGCAGGAATGTAAAATGGTGTAGCTCCTATGGAAAATAGTTTGGAGGTTCCTCAAAAAGTTAAACATTGAATCACTGTGTGACCCATCAATTTCATTCCTAGGTATATAACCAAAAGAACTGAAAACAAGTGTTCAAACAAAAAACATGTACACGAATGTTTGCAATAGCATTATTTACAACTGCTAAAAAGTGGAAACCAAATTATCCATCAACTGACAAACAGATAAACAAAATGTGGGATATCCACACAATTCAGCCTTAAAAATGAGTGAAGTACTGTTACATGCTACAACATGGATACACCCTGCTGCTAGGTGAAAGACGCCAGACACAAAAGATCACATATTTTATAATTCCATTTACACAAAATATCCAGAACAGGAAAATCCATGAAAACAAAAAGCAGATTGCCAAGGTCTGAGACAAGGGGGAAATAGGGAGTGAGAGCTTAAAGGATATAGGGTTTCCTTTTGGGGTGATGACAATGTTATGGAACTGTATAGTAGTAATTGTGGCACAACATTGTGAAATATACTAAATGCCAGTGAACTGTACACTTTTAAATGGTTAATCTGGTAGATTTCATGTTACGTGACTCTCATGTGAATTTTTTTAAAAGTTCCTTCTTTACTACTCTTACCTGACAGTTAATGTCAACTCCATACTGTAGCAAGACTGTGACTAGCTCCTTATGTCCTCGATCACAAGCCCAATGGAGTAGAGCTCTGCCCTAAAAACAAAGAAAAAGATAAATGAATGTTAATCCAGTTGTTCAGTTGTGGGGTAATATAAAAGATATAATGTTTTCAGAAAGACAAAGAGATATGTAAAATTGTAGGTTAATTATTCTAAAAATTATTAACATAAAAATGCACTATGGGAAAAGCAATAGATAATCAATTGGGAACCCTGAGTTCTGCTTCTGGATCCATTACTTACTAACCCAGTGATTTCTTTCACCCTAATCGGTTTCCTCACCTACAGAGTGGAGATAATAATAGTAATTACAACAATAATATCGATAATATTTATTGAATGAATAAGCTACAAGGAAAGGCTTTGTAAATTTTAAAGTACTTTATAAATATAAAAGATAATTTTCTTAAATTATTATGTTCATTTCCTCTGGTGAAATAAATCTTATGAATTAAAAAATGAGTATTTAGGGGCCGGCCCGGTGGCGCACTGCTATAGTGCGCCGCTTGGGAAGCACGGTGGCGCTCCCGCCGAGGGTTCGGATCCCACATACAGACCGGCCGCTCACTGGCTGAGCGAGGGGCGGGAGCAACACCGAGGGTTGCGATCCCGTGGCCAGTCCTGGTCCGGTACGGGCGCGACACTGAGGGTTGCGATCCGTTGCCGGTCACGAAAAAAGACAAAAAGGAAAAAAAAAAATGAGTATTTAAACCTAGGAAGAAATCATAATCTAAATACACTGTATCTAAATTTCCTTGGTTATTCCTTAAAAAGTTATGAATATTTAACCAGCTTGAAAATAAACATTTCCCCTTAATATTGCAAATTTATACTCTGACATATCTTTAAAACACTAGTACAATCTACCAGTGTCTATAATTCAGTTGACTGTTAAAGCCACCAGTAAAACAGAATAAAGGATTAACTATTAGAAGACAAGGTACTAATTATGAAATATTAATTTTAACTCTTGTCTATCAAAGACTGTTACTATTATATGTGTTATTTCTATTCTCTACTGTCAGAAAATCTTGGTCTAGCTAATGAAAGAAGCCTACTTGCTCCAAAGAATAAACAAAATCCAAACTGCTAAGAGCTTTTCTGAAGAAGTGAGTGATTTATGGCTTAACACTACTTTTTCGAGGGTGGTAACGATGTTGTCATCTATAAAGAACGGAATGTTTTTCCACATTAAGTTGAAATCCCTGCTTTAAGTCATTTTAGAAAAGATTTAAATAGATATAAGCTGGGACAAGGATGGCTTTAAAGTAAAAGCTCCTTTCAAGAAGGCTTTTCTAAACCTGCCTACACTCTTTTTATTATTCAGACTCTTCATACACCTATTAGTTCAACTAATTAAACAGGATCCATTCTGGAAACAAACACGAAAAAGAGTATGACAACTTCTTCCCTGCAAATTGTCCTTTTTTTTTTTTTTTTTTTTTTTTTTCATACACCTATTAGTTCAACTAATTAAACAGGATCCATTCTGGAAACAAACACGAAAAAGAGTATGACAACTTCTTCCCTGCAAATTGTCCTTTTTTTTTTTTTTTTTTTTGCTTTCATTTGCTTGATTTATTTTCGTTTATCTGCGAATACCTATTTTCCAATAGGCTTACACAAAATACTCATCGGGGGGAAGCAGAAAATTTAAAAATGTGGGCAAATGATTCACAATTTGTTGTAGTAGCAAAACTATTTTATTGTACATTTTTTGAGTCCACTAAGAGTTTTTTAAAATGGAGACAATTCTAAAAGCCCAATAAAACATGTGTTGTTGAGTAGTAGAGCAGAATTTTTAAATTTCTGTAGTTCTAATGTGTCGTGCTATCACTAGGGCACTAATTAAAAAATCCTCCATATGAACAATAAAGATTTTTTTAATGAGACTACTAATGAACAAACACCAATGAATAAAATATTCTATAGTTCAAAGTAACTATTTCACAGCTTTTACATTAAAAGAATTAGATAAAATTTCAGTCTCTATCATGAATTATTTCTAATTTTAAGTGTACTTTTCATGGTTACTAAGTTAAACTATTAACAAGAATTATTACATAGTTAAAATGATGTATGATATACTTACATAGGGCACTTACCAGAACTACAAAATAGTTAAGTAAGAAAACATAACATTAATATATCTAGTACCTAATAGTTAAGTAAGAAAACATAATATTAATATATCTAGTACTTTTACCACAAGATATACAGATCATTTCTACTTTTCAACCAGGTTCCTGATTTCTCATTAGGTTCAACCCAATAGGGTTACATCAACTAATGCTAAAATATAAATCCTTAGCTGTTTCAATGGCAAAGCAGACAAGCAACACATTTTACTGCTAATGGGAGTTATATTTTTAATTTCCCATATGTGGTGCCAAAAATTTACTTTAGGGGAAACACCTATGACTGGACCTCAGTAGTGATTTTCACTTTGGATATATTTTCCAGAATGGTGGCACACTTATAGCAATGTTTCAAGAAGGATGGTGTGCTCTCCAACATTTACACTACACTTTTTAACGCATTTTTGACCTGTAATGCAATTAATTTTTGTAACACATTATTTTAATGGTACACTAATTAACCTTGAATTAGAATGAATTCTCTGACAATGACTTTCTGTACAAGTGCTGAAGATATCTACACTATGACCACCTAAAGATTAATATTTTATGCAGTATTAAAAAGCTCTAAACAAGAGTAGGATTAATCATACTTGTAAATAAACACAGATAAAACAAATCAGGCTTTTGAATTTTTACCTTCAGGATGCCCTATATTTAAATTAACAAAGACTAGCATAACAAGGTATCTGAATGTGATATTCTTTACTTCTCCAAATTATGAAACTTCTGTAAACATACTCTAATTTTAGATTACTGTTTAAGTAATAACATAACCAGTAACTTGCAGAGATACTGTCCCCATAAGTAATTATGACAAAAATCAGGAAATAAACACTTGTGATTTCTTTCTTTTCTCTTTGTCAATCACAAACATATCTAGACAAATGCAATGTGATTATTAAATTATTTTAGGTACAGGATTCCATAATCTCTCCTTCAGAAGGAAAACCATGAACTAGGTGTACATTAAAGCTATATTGGCTTAAAGACTTTACTCCAATTTATAAAATATTTTACCTATTCCTATATATAACTGTTTTATCTTTCTCTAAGAGTGATATAATCTCTTACAAATTTTAAAGTTCAATTTATTTTTATTGCTACCACAAAGAGGTGACAATTCTTTGTTTGCTTCCAGTTTTTAAAACCCTCTGGAAAAATATCCCAGAAGTATTTAGGATTGATGAAGGAGGGCCTTTATTAAAAGAAATCTTTGTTAGGCTGACAGAAGACCACAAGCATTGCTTGGAGAGCTCCGGATTAATTCTGGAACTCAAATACAATAAAATACAGAGGGGAAAAAAGAGTTCTCATCTATTAACCAAGGGTGCTGATACTGTCCTACCTCAGACAGACAAATGACTCTAAAGTGCTTTAAAAGTGCAAGGTAGCAGCTAACCTATTAAGTGGTATTGCTTTCATACCTTCTGGAAAATACAGAGAGTGGATCTTAATATTTTAAATGCTTCTTTGATATTCTCCATTATTTGTCCTTAAACCAAGTAGAATTATTTTAAAATTAGATTTTTCTCCTAGATATCACAAAATTAAATGAAAAGAGATTCTATTATAACAGGAGTGTTGATACTCATGGTATTTTGAGATCAGATACAAAGTATGTATTACATATATACAGTAGATAAAAAACCTTGCAGAGTTGGTATATTTAAATTTGTAAGAGTTATCACCTCGCCATTCTATCAAAGACATATGGTACAGTACTGTCTAATTAGCAAATGAAGTCCTGCAAACAGGTTGACCTGAATTTCTCTCTGCAAAAAATTGGGATTTCAATTTATAATTGTAGTAGAGATTGACTTCAGCTGCCAATAACCTGTACTGTCTCCATCTCTTCTATCCTATTCCTACCTTCTATACTTTGCTGCTGCTGTGGTAGCAGCTGGCCACATTGAGAACTCTGCCACCTGCAACCATCAGAAACTACACAGTGCCTCCTGATTCCACTTTCCTTTCCATGGTAAAATGACATGGTAAAACTTAGGAGTAAGATTGGGAGACAGATCTCAAGATATACCTGGCATGTAAGCCAATGACTCCTTTGGTAATTTATTTAACAGCATTAAAAAGAAAACCACACACCAGTTAGGTGTGATACACAGAAAATCGCAACTATTAGATCTCATTCACTGGCTAAGTTCTAGGGTAGGGAGAAATGGTTGCTGTATTGTCAGGGAATTGAAAAGGATTTTAAATACACTACTTTTAAAAATCCCTCCATAAGCATTTACTAACCCATAATGTTAGCGACTTAAGGGTGAAGGAATAAACAAGGGAGATAATATTTCATCCTGTATAAAACAGGTAATAACAGCAATAATAACAGGAACTTACCATGAAAACAGCCCAGATATCCATCATGAGACAATGGTTAAATAAATTGTGGCATAGTCACATGATAGCACATTACTGAGCAATATAAAGTAAAAAGTACTAACCTACAACAATATGGATGGATCTCAAAAACATTATGCTGCATGAAAAAAGCCTTACACAGAAGAGTACTTACGTATGATTCTATTTATATAAAGTTCTAGAACAAGCAAAACTAATCCACGGTAGAAGAATATCAGAACAGTGGCTACCTTTTTGGAATTAAGAGAAAGGACTGGCTGGGAAGAAGCATGAGGGAACTTTCTGAGGTGATAGCAATGTTCTATTATCTTGATAGAAGCTTCAGTTACACCGGTAAATGCATTTGTCAAAATTAATCAAATGTGCACTTAAGATTTGTGCATTTCATTGTATACCAATGTTATCTTAAAAGAAAAGCTAACCTAATACTAACTCTAGTTAATTATGTGCATGCTGAAGCATTTAGAAGGAAGTATAATGTTGTCTATGCAGTCTAAAATGCATAAAAAGAGACTGATGA